ACAAAAGTGCTAGTAATAGTACTTTAATGTCTACGTTTCAAGTTAGTTCAACACCATGATTAAAAATAAAAGGACGAACTCTAACATCTTCTATATGAAATATATTTAACACACAATTATTCATTATTTTGATTTTAACATAGACAAATTATTTTTCAATTATAATAATATTATATCATATTATGTTAGATATCATTTTTTTTTTTTTATGGTAAATTATTTTTTACAATATAGATAATATGAAACATATTTCGATTAATTTAAATCATATATAAATTACTAATTATTTATTACAAATTTAATACTTTAATAATACACATTATTTTGATTACAGATACAATTGTGTGTATATTATCAAATAAAATATAAAATAAAATAAAATAAAATTCCATTCGATAGATAGATTTTAAAAATCAAAAGTTTGGAAACCGATTACTAAATAAAAAAACATCAAATTCAAAATAATATACCATGGGTACATTTTTTTCATTTACGAATTATACTTTTTGTTAAACATCTGGTTTGGGTATACTAAATGTATCCCAACTAGTTTCCGTTTTGACGAAGTCACCAATACATATATATATATATATATACACACATACTTCATATTATACACATCTACACAGTGTTCCAAGAATATAACTTATTCAGAAAAGAAATAAACTTTGCGTTAGTAATAGAAGAAGTGAACGCCTTAAATTTATTATAATATGTGAAGTTAATATGAATATGACGTAATCGATGTTACACACGTTCGTCCTTTTTTTATTATAGTTTTATATTTTTTTTGTAATCTTTAAAACGAAGATTCGTTGAATGAGTTAAAGAAAGAAAATGAAAAATGATTAGAATGAGGAACGAAACTAAACTGGATTGGGGTGGTGATGGTGATGGTGACGGTGATGGTGGTGGAATTAAAAGGTGGGGGGTTGTCTTTTTCAAGTGGGTGTCCAGTTAAAGTTTTTCAAGATATTTACGACTTTCTTATGGCAGATATATTTACGCTCGAAAGTTAAAATTTAACGAGCGATATTTCTGCAATCTTTAAAATCTGTACACACGCATGCACACATACATATAAGTATACCACAGTTTTCGAGTTTAATTTAAGAAAGATTATTTTTGTTACTCAGTAAATGAGTAACGGTGTTTTATAAATACATTACTCTTTTTTTCTATCTCTCATTCACTCTCTTTCTTTCACTCTTTAAAAAAAAAAAAAAAAAAGGAAAGTTGTCTTTCTTTATAAAAAAAAAAAAAAAAAAAGGAAAGTTGTCTTTCTTTATCGAAAAGTAACACACAAAATTTATTATTATTATTACGAGAGGAAACGTTAAACTATTCTCGAATATTCTTATTCAAATTTAAGAAACTATAATTATGAGAAGTTTAATTAGAAACATCGTTATAATGTTTTACAAATAATAATTATTAAACTAACAGTTCTTAGTCTTAGTAAAATTTCATTTAATACAAATTTACATTAATTCAAATTGTATATATATATATATAATCAGGTTTTTATTGCACAACTTACAAAGTTTTTTACAATGTCTTATCATTATATCACATATAATTATCTCACATTTTTGGCTT